AGCTGGCTCTGCTCATTACATGCTATTTGCATGTCTTGCCTATCCTTGAACACCCTCACTGATGTTGCTTCAACCACCTCCCATGGAAGCCCATTGCATACCCTGGGGGTCCTAAGTGTCAAGAAGTACTTCCTGGCATCCAAATTGAACCTTGGTTCCTTGAGTTTGGCTCCTCTGGAGCGCATCCTGTCTTCCTCTGCAGGGGAGAACAGGTCTCTACCTGCCTCCGTGTGACACCCACTCACATACCTGTATGTCGCCAACAGATCCCCTTGGAGTCTCCTCTTTTCCAGGCTGAAAAGACGCAATTCCCTCAGTCTCACCTCATACAGCTTTCCCTGCAATCCGGCCACCATCCTTATGGCCCTACGCTGCACTGACTCTAACCTGGTTATATCCTTTCTGTAATGTGGAGCCCAGATCTGAACACAATACTCCAGTTGCGGCACACCAGAGTTGTATAGTGGTAGTAATACCTTTCCTGATCTAGAAGCCATGCTTCTGGCTATGCAACCAAGGGTGACATTTGCCCTCTTGACTGCCGCATCAGACTACTGTTTCATGTTTAGCCTGTAGTCAAACAGTACACCAAGATCCCTTTCACAAGTGCTGCTCTCCAACCACTTGTCCCCTAACCTGTACTTATGACACCCATTCCTATGCCCCAAGTGCAAGACCCTGCACTTATCCACATTGAATGCCATCCTGTTGTCCCTTGCCCACTTCCATAGTTTGTCCAGATCCTTCTGGATCTGGAGTACCTGCTCCTCAGTTGTGGCCACTGCCCTCATTTTAGTATCGTCTGTGAATTTGATCAGCAGACTGGTCACCCCTTCTTCCATGTTGTTGATGAAAAGATTGAACAGGAATGATCCCAGGACAGAGCCCTGGGGGATCCCGCTTGTCACTGGCCACCATCTTGATGATTCCCCACTAATGGTTACCCTCTGCTTTCGGTCAGTCAGCCATGCCCTAATGGTCTACCCCAACACTCCTCAATTTCTCAACCAGGATATAATGGGGTACTTTGTCAAAGGTCTTGCTGAAATCCAGGTAAACCATATCCACCGCATCCCCTCCATCTAGCCACCTCAAAATCTTGTCATAGAATTCCACAAGGTTTGTCTGACAGGACCTGTTTTTGCGGAAGCTGTGTTGTGTGGCCACCAACCTCCCTTCCCTATCTAGGGTTACTAGGTCTCTTGCTATTATGAGCCTTTCTATTGTCTTTCCTAAATGGACGTAAGGCTAACTATTCTGTAATTCCCCATGACCCAAATTGTATCCCTTCACCCCATCTCACCCAGTTTTTCCACTCCAGTTCTAGGCTTATATATGTGCACCTCCAGTGTCCCCATTTGGGGCTTTCTACCGGCTGACTTCTGCTGAGAAGACCACTTCCAGTGATTTGCACCTGCAGAACTTTCCATAGATGGCATGGGGCCAGCTGAGCCCTCCTTACTGGAGGTGTGCCTCTCGTCACTGAATCTTTACTGCTGCCACTGAGATAGTTAGGAGGGTTAGTTATCTTTTTACTTTTTTATCTGTTTACTTGCTATCTTTTTACTTTTTACATTTTATAGCTTTAATAAACATTTCCAGAATGGTCTTCATAAGGAAACAGAAAAATAATTAGATTTCAAACTAGTTAAATTATAATAATAAACACAAAAATGAAAAAGGAGCAATGGCCCCTTCAAACTCTACTATTCTGTGATCTTAGAAGCCTGATAAATATAATCAACAGTACTAAAATTAGGCCTGAGAGAGAAAAGAGATGCCAGGCATCTATGCAGAGAGCATTACCAAAACTGGGGTGCTACCATTGAGAAAGCCCTCTGTGTGATGGTCACCCACCTCACTTCAAGATTCACTCTACATCTTGCTGCAGGAATAAAACTATGGATGACATTTCATGCTTTTAGCCTTTTCAAATGTCATGAATCAGGACTGGCCCTGAATAAATACACAGGCACTTGCAGGCTGACTTTGTGATGTGAGATGCTAGGTGTGTTTCCTAAGAAAACATGCAGTGGAATCCAGAGCAGCTTCACAGGTCTTGAATGCCTGCCTTGTTTCAGAAGAAATATTATGGAGTTTGTCAATGTTTTTTCACATCACGATTTGTTGTGTTGTTAGCTGGCTTCTTTCTGACATGTTCATAGAAAGTGGCTGAGGAAATGGTAGGGCAAGGTAATTTCTGGTATCTACTATATCAGGGTTGGGTGAGGAACCAGCAGTCCTCTAAATGTTTTTGGACTTCAGCTCCCATCAACCCTAGCCAGCAAAGTCAATGGTTAGGGATGATGAGAGTTAATCCCAACATCTGCGTTACAGAATCTTTCACTGCCTGGTAATGATGACTTAACACAACAATGTGGGGCTGGGCTTTGACCAGAAACTAACATTTGTTACTCATTTCCAGTTCCTTGATCTTGTTGTTGAGAACCTTCTTCTACTGAACCCTGGGCAGACCATATAGTATCGACCCTGCCTTTTATATTCCCATTCTTTGTTTTTAAATTGTCTTTTTAATGGACTTTAATCATGTTTGTATAGTGCATTCTGGAAGCTTTTTTAGGGCCAAAAGCAGAATATAAGTGTGTGTATGCAGGTAAAATAGCCCTCCATCTAACCCGACACTTCAAATAAAGTGGGCCACATACACTGCAGAATCCTCACCTATGGCCTCTGTAGCAAGCCTCAGCTGAGTGCAGGGAATCCTCATGTACAGGAGGGGCTTCTCACTGATTTGTACCAACTCAGAAAGCACACTGTACTCACTTACTTGAAAGACCCCCTGGTTTTGGAAAACTAACACAAAAGGGAGAAAGCTAGAAAAGGAACAACCCACATTGGAAACAGCACATTTAAACCAGGTGAATCCTCTTATAAGCCAAAGGTTCATTCGGCTGTTCTTGAGGAGAAAGCACAGTTCATACAATCCATCTTACCTACCCTCAAACATTAATGATGAAGTGCTTAATGCACACACGCACACACATACACACAAGTATGGATGTTATGGAATTTAATACTAAAAGCAAAACCTTGTAAAATTCCAAACCATAATTGACATATCTAATGCAATAAGTAGCAAACATTTAAAAAGTGGTGTCGGGGGTGGAGGGTGGGTACCAGGACAATACCCACAACTGTGTTTATAGAATAAAATACTAATCCTGATTTGGTTCAGTGCAACTGCTGTAACAAAGGTGATTACATCCACTACTTGTGTATGTTTATGTACAAATAGTGGTTAGGGTGCTGGACTGGGACTTGGGGGATCCAAGTTTTAGTTCCCACTCCAACATGAAGCTCACTGGACGACTTTGGGACGGTCACTGAGTCTCAACCTAATCATTCTCACAAGGTTGTCATAGAACAAAGTGGAGAGGATGAATATGTACACTGCCTTGAATTCCTTGCAGGGAAAAAGGCAGAATACAATTATTAAAAATGAATAAATTAAATATATTACTTCCTATTATTTGGTCCTTGCTTACACAAACATGCATGTCTCAAATGTGTACTTTTTGAACATTCCTAGCCCCATTCCTAAGCATTACCAAGTAGTCAAATCCCTCTGTTCATCAGTTTAAAACAGGGCTGAGCCTTGGGACTGAATTCAACCTTCCAGAAGCTCTCTGAACTTCATTCTAGTGGTAGGCAGGACTGAAGGCAAAGGTGGTAAGGCCAGAACTACAAAAAACAAAACAAAACAAAACAAAAAATGCCAGTGTACTTTAGCTTTGAGCAATTTTGCCTGTAAGTAAAGCTTAGGCAAAGTTTTTCAACCCTTTATGGTTCAATCCCATGCATGTATATATAGGTTTAAAAATCTACAGTATAGGTATATTCTCCTGCACCCTTAGAATGGAGGAAGGCGAGATTGGGACCCTGGGCCTGAGGTTCCCCACCCTTGGTTTAAAGCAGCAAAGCTCCATTCTCACCCCATGTTTGATATCCATCATTCAGCCATTCACAGATGCCAGCCTCTTACTCGACCAGGAAAGAACTGCTTCGGAAATGAGTAACACACTATTGGCATTGTTATAGCAAGTGTGAGGATTCAGAGCTTTGGTGAGTATGGTGCAGGTGCACTGAAATCCAAATCCTTCACTAAAAGAGTAAAAGGAACTGCCCTATATTGAGTCAGGCTACTCATTCATCATTTCAGCAGGTTATCTACCCATTTTCAAATTATTCTGAAAAACACTGCTACATATGGAGGGATCCCAAACCAGTAAAGATCCCTGCATCCTTTCATGATGGAGATCTAAACATGTTCACTGTTGCACATGTAGAACCCGTTTTCATGCATGTGGAATGTTTGAGGGATGTGGTCAACAGGCCACTGGAGTCTAACTGACGTCCTTTTATTCAGTGGGTCTGGCCAGCCATCTGAGAGGGATGGTTAACTTGGTGTCCTGGAGGCAGCAAGGGGTTGGAGCCGGTGGCCTTCTGGCCTCCTCCAACTCTGCTCTTCTATGATTCGAAGATTCTACTTGGGTGCAATCCCATGTTAGGATGCACCTACAAACTCAAATCTTAAACACACATCCACCGCCCCCCGGAAAAAAAAAAGCCTTCACCATCCTGCCACACAGATGGAAGCTGGCATAACCAGCGTGCACATGCATCCCCCCGCCCCCCCACACACTCACTCTTCCGCGGCGTCTTACAGACAACGCAGAATTTCGCCTGCGGGAGGGAGTCCTGGCTTCGGACTTGTGCAACAAGTCACGGTGCAGGCGGGCATTACACTCGATGACCCTGCAAGCTATTAAAGGGTAGAACCTTCTTCCAGGCAGAGCTCAACCGGGCCTTCCCGCAAGCCTCGCACACACCCGTGTAGACAAGCACGGCCGCCGGAAGCGCCCTTCACGAGGACCCCAGGGACTCGCTGCAGGCACGCCGAAAGGAGGCGTCGGAGCAGCTGGAAGGCGGGCAGTCTTCACGTGGCTCGGAGGGCAGCCGCGGGGGTGCAGCCGGCTGTTTTCGCGCAGATCAGCTGGTGGTGGAGCAGGAGGCGCTGTCGAACCGGCTCCTCTCCCAGCTCGCTTGGCACCCGCAGTGGTGTCTGAGTCGGAGGGGCAACTCCGGCTGCTAGTGCTGGCGCCCGCCAGGCTCCTCCTGGCGCAAAACCCACGCGTGGGATCCGGAGACGCGGCGCCGCGACTTCCCTGCAGGCTGTTGCTCGGAAAGCGTACGCGGGGATAACCTCCCTCTTGCTTGAAATTGGAGCTCCAGGGTGGAGGCGGCTGTCGCTCGCGATGCAACTTCTCAGCGGCTTCCTTCTGGCTCTTGCCCTGCGGATGGTGGGCGCGCAGGTGAGGGAAACTTCCGATCCGGTGAGACCAGCCTTCCCTGGCTTCTGGCATACTGGATCTGGGGGAGCCCCCGCGTGGGGAAGTCATCTCTTAAGAAGACACGAGCGCCACACTTAACTTACTTGCCTTGCCTCGCTGCTCGGCGTAGCGGGTGGGCGTGCGGTTGCTCTCATTCGTCCGGGAAGCAAGAGCAAAGAAGTGGGGTCGGCTTCGGCAGCTGGTGCTGTCGTCTTGCCAAACGTTAGCCATCGGGGCTTAAGTCTCCAGAACACGCATCCTCTGTCCGGGAAACTTTGCCCCGATCCCGGATACGTGGACACAGTTTGTGGTTGTTCAGCGGTGAACTCAACACATGCTCGATGACTGCTGTTGTCGGGTTCCAAACCTGAACGCCGAGAAAAGGTTGCGGGGCCCCTGTTGAGTGCAGGCAGAAATCTCTTCCTTCGAGGTATTTAATGTTAAATGATAAGTTTAGAGGTTACCAAGGCTTTGTATTTTCTGCTCTGAAAGCGTTTCACCCCAATCTCAAATAGGTAGGGTTAGGGGTACTAGGATTACTTAGGGAGAAAACACTCTGTATGTGCTCAGAGGCATAGTGGTTGTCCTCTGTATTCCAAGCCTGAACATTGACATTAGAGAGAGGCTTACTGGATTTGGATGAACATTGGTGGGCCTGGAAGCACAGTGTAGATTTGTATGGGATCCTTCCCCAACTTGGTGCCCTTCACATGTACTGGACTATAAATCCCCACATGATCAGAAAGGAGGGTTGTTTTGTGTATTGGGTAGGGGTGATGGGTATTGTAATCCAAAGCACCTGGAGGGCAGCAGATCAGGGAAAACTGATCATGTGGAGAAGAGGCAGGAATTCCTGGCAGTTGTTCTGGAATGATTTATTGGTGTCATGGTTTATTTAACACCTATTGCCCCATCCTATTTGCATCCAAGATGCCTTTTTCCCCCTTTTGTTTTAGGCAAAGCTAAAGGTGCTTCCAGAGAGGTGCCTCTTGGGGCTATCCCTCGAAAAGCATTACGCAGCTATTCCATCTTCCCCTCTTAAAGGATTTACCATAGCAAGAAAAGGGTGGAAGAAGTGGTGGAGCACTGAGGCAGGTTACAAGTGGAACACAGTCATCTGTATCTCTCCATAAAATCCTCTGAGTGAGGCAGGGTGATGGCACCATAAAAACCTAATGTCAAAGCACCTGAAATGCCAAGTGGTGACAGTAATGATAAAAGCAGATCAACAGTTAGCATAAAAGTATAATCTTGTCTTTCCTGGTGTAGCATCTGCATAGTCATTTCCAATACATGAATGTCATGGGCACTGTCCTACTCCCCCCTTCTACTCCTGTGTCTTGCTTCTCTCCCCCTCTCTCCTGTGTCAACTTTCTGCACCCAGATAGACTTTTAGTAAGATCAGGAAGACGCCGTGCAAATGCACTGACTGAAGTCAAGAGCACCCAGGCTGAAAGCACCTTAAGGGGTTTCTGGAGTTATTAACTGGAATGGAATGCAGATAAGCATTTGCCTGCCTGTCTGCTTTCCTGCCTCCCTAACTTCCGATTGAATCGCTCCTGTGTCAAATAGCCCATGTCTTCCCACACAAACAAGCAGAAAAGTCTCTTGCTTTTGGTGGATTGCTGCCAAGAGCAAGAACAGAGTTTATTTTTTTCCTGAATGGTGATTCCCCAGAGAGGATCTATTACTTCCCACAGCACCACATCCTTTGGTCATTTGTTTTATTTATTTATTTCTATCCCACCTTTTTTCTGCAAGGCAACTTACACAATCCTCCTCATTATTTCATCCTCACAACAGTGCTGTCAGGTAGGTAAGACTGAGAATCAGTGAGTCAGAATCCCCCATGAGCTTCATGGGTGAGCAGCAGGAGGTGGGCAGAAGATGGATCTTCCTCTCGCCACTGCCTTGCACTGCCTCGCTATATCTCCTGATGGTTGGGATTTTGGAGAGTGAGGGTGTCATTCTGCCCTTGAAATGGAAGTGACCTACTACACCCTTGGATCCCAGCCACGGTGTTTTCTAATCCTCATCAGCCTTGCCCTCTGCTTGAATTAGACTTTTTTCCTCTAAGCCTCATTCCAGCATTAGGGTGAACATGTAACTTTCCTGGGAGTTCCCCCCTCCCCATGTGTTCTGGTGGAAGAGTTAAGAGCTACAGTTTTGAGTAATCATCTGCAACCTTTTCTGACCCAGGACTCAATCTTAAAAACAGACCTGATTTTGGGAACCCTTTCTTAATGTTACCTTATATGCGTAGGTGGCAGTGGTGGACTTGCACCCCACCCTAGATCCTCATGATATGCCATTTGAAGACCAATGTCTTAGAGGCCATCTCTCTGCTGGTCACACTGAATAAGATTTAAAATTATTTATACATGTGTGCTAATTCTTTCAAAGTGGGAAAGGACAAAGATGTTCACTTGTATAAGAAAAATAAACAGAGCTGACTCTACTGAAATGAAATGAAACCCAACCCAACCCAACCCTTTTAATTCCATGGAAAAGATTCCCCCAGCTGGATACCAACTTCTTTTAAAATAGACTTATAAAAAGGTCCTTTGCTCTTTCTTTCAATGAAGAGGGAAGATGTCTTCTACAAAGATGCCTGCTCTGGTATTTGTGCATTACCTATTTTGGCTTTAGAAATACTTTCATTCGTATGTGGATTTACAGAACAATACTGTGGGGACCAGTGTAAGAATCCCTGTTTGGGGAACTACTGCCTCCTAAGTCATGCCAGCATATACTCGCCAATAATGCAGGAGACGTGGGGAGCAGTTTTCACTGCTTCCCCTTCGATTCTGTGTATTTAATTTTTTTTCCTGCTCATTGACGTAAGTAGGAGGGGAGATCAGCTTCAGGGCAGGCATGGATTTTCTCGCTTTGATGCAAATCAAACAAGGAGGCATTGGCTTCTAGTGATCCAAGGCTTCCCCTAAGCTGCCCCTGACACGCTTTGGGACTCTTCTCTACCCCCATGCTGCCAGTAGTACATCATGTCTGCAGCACTTTCCACCAGCATCTTACAAGTTGCTGGGGGGTTTTGAGGATATTCCAGCTACCTCACCAGCCGAACACTCCCACAGCATCCTGCAGTTTGCCACAGGCCATTTGACAGGATGTATAGCTTTAACAGATCAATCAACTCTTATGATTGGTAGCATAATAAACTAAGACTCATGATTAATAAGTTAAAATGTCTTAATCAGGTTGTAACCCTAATCATAAATGAAGTAATAATTTGCAATTTATTTATGATTTATTTAATAGATCTATATACAACACCATAAAATCTATAAGTGTATATTTGTGTACAACAATTGTCATGTTAAAAAAATTCCTTACAGATCTGACCGTGGCAGCTCTTCCGTATCACTTGATGGAGCTGCGGAAGTACAACTAAGTGTAGGATAATGTTCAATGCTAATATCCACATTCTGTTATTGGTCTTTTAGGGTCCAAGTTTCCTTCCATGTTAGCCACGGAAAGATATATAAGAAGCTCTCATGTACTAGAATAGAGTATTTGTCCATTTAGCTCTGTATTGTGCATTCTGAATGGCTGAGGTCTTTCCCCTCACCTGCTACCTGATCCCTTTACCTGGCAAAGCTGGGGCCTGTCTTCTACCATCCTTTAATCTGATTTTCCTTCACACTGACATCTTTTCTTCCTTTCTGGAGCAGTTCTTTTGCATATCAAGTTGGCTTTAAAGCTTGCTTTAAAGAATATTCTTCCGTGTTCCAGCAAAACAATTGTAGCTCAAAGCTCTCAGCCAGTGGGATCCAGTTTTGTGCAGAGGCAATACAGATGCAAATACAATTAGACAAGCAAGCCACAGTAGATGTCACTGCACATAAAAGAAAAACTAATTTGGAAATTGATCCCACATGAGGATAAAACAAAACAAGATGCTGACATTTCAAAGCATCTTCAGAATATGGCATTGTTTATGTGGGATGGTGATGGTTGTTATGCACTACAAAGAAAAGTCATATGTATAAGTGCTGCTGTTTTGTAATGTTTACTTTGTGTGCCCTCTCTGAGGCTATAATGTGCCTGGGTAGACCTGAAGCTTTGTGTTGTTACTATGAAAGACCTGTGTTTGCACAGTTCATAACTGAGTGTTGTTAGATGGGGCTTGGATGAAGTAAATTCATTTCTGATTTACTGGGGATTTGATCCAGTTATGGGGAAACAGTAGTTCAGAAGCTAACAGTAAAGTTAGTTTGTGGATAGTTAGAGGGCAGGTCGTCTCCTGACAGGTGAGTGGAGGTGGCTGTGAGTGGAGAAAGGGAATAACTAAGGCCTGAATATTAAGCTAGATGTCCTCTCTGGGGTAATCTTATATGGCTGGTGAGAATCAGGAATAGGAAACTATGTTAAACCAGAAGGCCACCCTAAGATTTGCCAGAAGAAGATTGCAAAAGCAGGCAGTGAAAATGCAGGTAAACTGCCCAGACAGCCAGAAATACAACTGGAGGAGCTTTGGGAGGCAGAGGAGGATGTATCCAAGAGCTGGAATTAGTTGTGTTTGGCTGAAGTGAAAGCTTAGGGAATCTTGCATGAGGCAAAACAAATCATCAACAGGATTGTAGCTGCAGCAGCTACAAGCAGCATCGCCTCATCAGTCCTTAAGAATTTTTGCCAAGTATCCTCTTGAAGACCCCAAAGTTAATATTTGTAATCTCCCTATGTACAAAATATCCCTTTTGTGCATTAATCCAATGCCATCTATGCTTGATGCGTATAAGCTTCTGTACACCAAGGGTTGTGTGCATCCAGTGTACTGGGCGAGGCACCCACACCTTGCATCCTGCATTTCATCAGGATGACTGTTTTCAGCTATTTTTATGAAGTGCCGCAGAAGAGAAGGGAAGGAGGGTGACACATCATTTGGATATGGCATAAGCCATCAGCCCCAGCTGCCTGTCCGGCCCTCTAGCAAACCCCTTTAGCCTTCTCTGAGACGAATTTCTAGCCACAGTGAGCCAGGCAGCATGTTTTTTTCAGCCCAGCTGTGAGGATTGCAGGACAGGAGGTTGCAGGCAGAGGACCTCTGAGCTGGAACTCAGGATGACCCTATGGCCCCTCAAACAACGTCAGGAGGCCGTAGGATTGCAGCCTGACTTGTTTAATAGTTCATCTTGTCTCTAGTGTCAGTGTCCATCACACACCTAAGCCTCTTATAAAGTGTTCTCAGAGAATTGCTATCTGTGGAAAAGAATCACTTTATGGACCTCTGGGTTATAGCAGCAGAAAGCTCCTTAGGCTCTGATATTTTTAATAAATGCATAAGAAATCCCAGAGGTGGGATTGCCCAGTGAAGGAGCAGTTTCTCCCATCAGTTTGGCTAATGGTCAGGGATTATGATGGTACATAGGTGGTACACTGAAAATTCCCCATACCCTCCTTTGTTATTAACCGGAAGTTCCTGATCAAAGGCTCATGCCCATTACTTTATTATGCATCATGCTAGCTGGGTACAACACCAATTTGCTAATCTAACTAACATCCAACTGAGCATGATTATAACTTTTAATTTCAAGACACTTGTTCACTTAACTCTTTAAGAAAATGTTTAAATTAAATTCATATTCTGTCTGAATAAGGCCTTGTACATTTGTGTGACTCTGCAGCTTGCAAACACACCCACAAGAAGAAACTGGACCAAGAATTATTTACTTTTACTTTTGTCATTTTACCAACCTAATTCTGATTTCAGGGCTATCAAGATAAAAAATAATTTTATATGGCACTTTTTAAGAAGAAGCAGGTTGCTGATCATAATAGGCATGCACTTGGGGCACATGTATTTAACCTTATCTTGCTCCTTTCCCATGTTGCCTTCTCTTCTGTCTCTTCACTAGCACTCTCTGTTTCCCTCACTCTTCCTTATAAAATGTTAGATTTGAGGGATACAGGAAATTGTGCACTAGACTGACATCTAGTGTTCTTAACTCAAGGTTCCAGGAGGTTTGTGAGGAGACCTTGCCGCACTGCTAGATTATTCATAGAAGGGTGCTTGGGGAAGTGCTTAATTTCCAATGAGAGCTGCTGTAGTTAAAGCCTGTTGCAGTATCTGGTCCTCTTATTCAGGAACTGTTTATTTCTAATCCCATACCTGTGCAAACTGATTGTATTTACTCATTGGTGAAAAAAGCACTCTCTGCCTGTTCATTGATATTGTTAGCTTCATTCTTAACATTTCTGCACCATCCCAATATAGAAATCCTCTGGGTAGTGTTACAAAAGGAAGCTGCAATTCAGTTTGAATACAAGTGTTCCATGTCTGGGTTTTGATTTGGTGAAAAAATGGAATATAAGAATTTAGTTCATTAAATATTCTGGACTCTAGTAAACTGTGTCCCCTGGAGCATCTTACCAAATACAATTTTTTAAGCTTTTGGTACAAACCCTTAGTTCTCATGCTTTATTGCAGGGGTAGACAACCTGGTGGTCCAAATATTTTGACTACAATACCCATCAGCATGATCAATGGTCAGGGATTATTTATTTTAAAAAATAAGTAGTACAAAACTTCTGAGATCATCAAGTTGTGTGCTCCTGCTATACTGAAGCTGCACCTAAGGACATGTAACAGAACTAAATTCAGATTCCTTCCAAGATTATCCTCCCCTGAATTGTTCTCTTCTCCTTATGCATGGTGTGAAGAAAGGAGATAGTGAGATATTTCCCAGTCTCTCTTTCCCCTCCCTCTCTTGCTCACATGCACACACTCTGCTGTAACCAGGGTCATGCCATGAAGCTGATTGGTGGGAGATTCAGAACAGGTAAAAGGATGCGCTTATTCACACAGTGCACATTTGAACTATGGCATTCATGACCACAAGATGAGGTGATGGCCACCAACTTGGATCACTTTGACAAGGAATTAGGCAAGTACATGGATGATGAGGCTCTCCGTGGCAACCAGCCCAAATGACACTATGCTACCTTCAGGATCAGGGGCAGCCTGGGCTGCTGGCGAAAGGGAGGGGTCTAGCCCCATGTTCTGTTTAAGGGCTTCTCAGATGCATTTGGATGGCTGTTGCGGGCCATGATTATGTGATGACCACCACTTTGTGTGACTTTAAAAGAAAAATGGGCAAATGAAGGAGGCAGCTGTCGATGGCTACTAGTCTGGATGTCTGCATGCTACCTCCAGGATCCGGGACAGGATACCTATGTACAGCAGTTGCTGGCAGAAGGGTACAGCTGTGGCCATGTCTTCTCTGTGGGCTTCCCATGGACAGCTGACTGGCCACTGCGTGCACAGAATGCTGAACAAGGTGGAGCTGGTTTGATCCAGTGCAGCTCTTTGTATGTTCTTTGTTACCTCTGCTGCTTCAAACTGGATTGTAAGCTTCTTAGGGCACCGATTTGTTTTCTCCAATGCACCGTAACCGTTCATGACAATTCATGAATAATAAATCATCAGGAACAGAAGAGCAATAATTAATGCGCAGATTGACTGAGCCAGCAGTTTTGTGGTCCCTGAGCCAGTGTGCCAGAGGGCATAGAGTGGTTCAGATCACCCCCTCTGAGGGAGGAGAGGAAGGTTCACCTTTGGAGTGGGAGATTGGACTCTCGACCCCCCTCCAGCTGCTCCAAAAACTGCCATGGGCCTGGCAGAGGCAACGAGGACGTTTTATGGGTGTGTTGGGGTTGGAATTGGAATGTTGGGTTGGAATTGGGGGACACTGTGGATCCACAGGAACTACAGTCTTCTTTATTCTTCCTTGAGTTAGGGGGGATAAATGTATGCTAGCTAGCATGCAGGATCACCTTCCCTTTGCAACCAATGGAAGGAATGTGTGAAGCATAAGGGGGCAGGGTTTGTCTGCATGAGCTTGGCAGGGCTTTGGGTAAGGCAGTTTCCCCACTCTCAGATCTTCCCCAGCCCCACTGGTAAGATTGCTTTGTTCCACGCCAAAAGAATGCTCTGTCCTCTAGCAAGCCCTGGGCCACAGCATAACAACAGTGTCCTCAAATAAATGCTTTCCTAATAGTATCTTCTTTAAAAGATCTTATTCAGGGAAGGAAAATATGGCCTTACATGTATATGAGGACAATGGTGTTATTTTTGTGCCTTATCAGAAGGATCCACACTGGATTCAACTTTGCATAGTAGTGTGTTTGGCTACCTCTTTCTTCCCAGAATGCCTTGGGAAAATTACCATTTCTCTCCTCCCTCTCTTCCTCCCCATCCCTAGAGACGAGACAAGGGTCTTCAGGACAGCTCTACTGAAGTGGCAGGTGAGTGGGCAGCTTGTTCCTGTCTTGCTGTTGTGAAAGTGGCTCCAAGAGGACACACACGAAGAGTACAAAATAGAGGTCTCCACATCCTTCTCTTTCTTTTGGCACATCAAAGAATGTTAATGGGTCGAACGACATAGGAAACTTTTTGAATGTTTTTGATGAGGTTTTGAAGGATTTGACATGATGTTAAATGTGTCTTTACATTTCATGTGCATTTTCAAAAAAAACTCAGTTGATGGAGAGAGAGAGAGAGAATTTTTGGAATCAAAGCAGGTGTTGGGTGGGATGGGAAGTAAATCTTTCTCAGCGCTGCAATCCTAAGGAAAATCCTCCTATAAAGGTGGTATTTGCAAAGCAAGAAAATCTCATTAGGGCCATATGGGGAGTTGTCTTATTCATTGGCATATCCAGTTTGACTCCCTGAATCATCTGCAAGTTGTTCAGAGCACAATTGTTAGAACACCATGTCTGAGACTCCATAGTTCAGTGACAGACCAGCTGCTCTGCATGCAGAAAGTCCTTGTTTTAAATCCTTGCCATCTCCAGTTAAAAGGATTGGGTAGGGAGCATATGGCAAGAGCAACCTCTGCCTGAAACCATGGAGAGCCGCAGCCTTTTCCAAGCTGGTGTCCTTGCATCATTCCCAGCCAGTGTGGTCATGTATGGAAGGGACTGAATGCAAAGCTGCTATTCACCAGCTAATTTGAAGAAACAGAACAACACTCTTTTCTCATCATGTGTTTTAAACCGCTTCCCTTTTGTATCGTTTTAGTTGTATCCTTTAAGGACGTTTGGAATCGCAGCTTCTGCCAGCCCTTGGAAAAACTGGTCAGTATTATATCAGAGTACCCCAGTGAAGTAGAGCATGTATTCAGCCCTTCCTGTGTCTCCTTGCGCCGCTGCAGTGGATGCTGCTCAGATGAGAGGCTCCAGTGTGTTCCAACAGAGACTGCCAATGTCACCATGCAGGTAGGAGATTGGACTGGGTGGTCCTGCTTACTGTGAACTCACAGATCAAAAACCAGAGTCCCTCCCTACTCTTTCTCAGTGAAATAGTTCTCTGTGTGTCTTTGCTTTATACCATCACATCTTGGATGGTATGCATATCTGGGAAACTGAGGCTCACCGGCCTCTTAAAATCCTAATGATGGGCCTAACCAAGATTTGGAGAATATTTCTTCTTATTTTAAAAACTTTATAACTCCATAGTCCTGGCAGGAACAGAGGCAGTCCTGTCATGAGGAGAAATGAGGAGAAATTTGCCCTCAGGAACAAAGTTGATCATATATTAAGGGCATGATCCAATGCACAAATGTTGGGAATTATAGTTTTTTTCTGGCTAAATGTACACAGGATTGTGCCCTAAATCTGTGTATGCCATCAATGTATTTAGTCTGTACTTTAAAAATGAAACATACAAAAATGAAATGATATACTAGTCTGTCTGTATGTGTACATGCATGTGTGTTGATCATTGGGACCACAGCATATGTGGATTTCAGGAACTCTTTGTCCTTATGCCATGTGGTCCCAATCAATGTCCGTTCCCTAACTCTGTTATTCATCTCAAAAGGGAACAGCAGCTTCCTTTCTGTGGGGAAATTCAGACAGACAATTTCTGCTGACACTGTGGCCTTAATCTTGGTTATCAGTGACCCACCTGGGCTATGACATTTCAAGTAAAAAGCAGACTCATGATGAACATGTACATGCATCTAGCACCTTGGGCTGGTTTGTGCATCACACTAAGCCAGCCTGGAGAATAAGCTGTTGTGGGTTTGTTGCTCTCAGAACAATCCACATTGCTCCTGACAATCAGGTGTGCAGCAGCTTGATATGAATTACTTACCTCAGTCCATCAGCCTGCTTCCTGCTTATATCCCAATGGTTTTTGCATGGCATGGCATCACATCTCATATCCTTGTCCCTGTGGTGAGACTTTTCCAGCCCCCTCCTCAGTCTGATCACTACTACTTGTTGGAGTACTTACCTCATTCACCACCTCCCTGCCCCCAGTGCTTTGGAATTATGCAGAAGGGATTATAATTATATTTTGTTATTATATTCCTCCTGGTTTTTCACAAATCTGAAAGAATACAAATTTTCATGTCTGCTGTATATCATCTCCCCTTGTCAACTTCCTTGTGTGTTACAGCTATCAAGGGAAGCACCAAATTGGAGTTAAAAATATACTAGGAAATCAACAAGAAAAGACTGCTCTTAAACTAATATGTTCACACTTGTGAAGGACCTGGGAAAAATAACCCTAAAAGTATGAACCCATTTGTGCAATTCAGAAGCACTGAAAAACTTAAAAGCAAGCAACAGATGCATCATCGCTTGCTTTATTCCCATTGGCTGAGCAATGTGTCCATCTCCCTATTTACTTTTGGAAACAGGGGGACAGCATGAAAATGCATGGAAGGAGAAGGGGTGAATCACAGTGAAACTGTTCATTTCCATTTAATGAATACCTGTGGGTGGGGGGATGCTGGAGAGGTTGGAAAGTGCTGGAGACATGCAGGTATGCTCAGGAGGGGGAAGAGATGAACCTGTTGCAGGAATGCAGCTGACCAATCAGGAGAAGGCTGCTGCAGCCCATAGGCAAGAATAGGGAGGGGGTGGGGATTTCACTTGCTGGGGCTGCTGGGATGCATGGTAAAGCAGGGAAACCCTTCTGCCTGGATAAGCACATGATCAGCTGGCCAGTAAGCTTGTACAAAAATCCATGTTTGTTGCGCTCTGAGCATCCAACCAGTGCGTGCTCTTCATGGGTTGTTTGTAGTTAAGAGACCACAACTTGTCATTGTAGTTGTGTTCATGTTTCATGTCATTGCCAATGATCCGTGTTTCACATATTAGTCCTTGAGTGTGGGCTATTGTTTTGTCTGAACCCAGTCACTGGCCCTGAGGCAGAAGATCTTCTCCAGGGAGCACAAGGGGCCTGGAAACTCTCTGGGTGAAGCACTTCTGAAACGGATGGGAAATGTACTCTTCCCTTGTTTAATTAGTGGAGCGGGAAAGGGAGTTGCCACTTGGATTTTCCATCCTGACCCAAAATGCCTTGGAACAGCCATGTGGCCTGAACAGAGGAAGGCAGCAGAGAAAGAGATGCTCAGAGAGTTACGTAAGTTTCACTTTTTCAGATCCTGAAGATGCAGTCAGAGAAGCAGGTGCATTATGTGGAACTGTCCTTCACTGAGGACAGAAAATGTTTATGCAGGTATGTATGCAACTTTGTTGTGGCATTTGGTAAGCTCTGGGCTGGCCCTACCACTGGGCAGTGTGAGAAAACTGGGGGACGGCAGCAGTAGCCTCCCTGCGTCCCTGGTTCATCCTGGCCCCTCCAGCTGTCCTTTTCATTAGAACTAGAGGACTGAACTATGTGTTCCATACAGCCTTCCCTGCGCTCTCTGAACTAGCGTGTCACCTCAGAAAAATGGATGATCTTGTTTGCTATTGTTGATGTAAGAAAGATTCATCTGCCACTCCAGTCAACCTATGCACATCAAATGGAGAGGCGGCACTCTTGCGTCCTTTATGCACAGGTAGCAACGTGTCTTGGGCCAGCCCTGGGCAAACCTTAGTGCATCACAATTCTCAAATTTGTCCATGAAACTGACAAGTCCCTCCTTTTGGCTCCCCCTAATTTTAGCCTTTAAAAAATAGCTAAGAGAGCCAGCACAAAAACTGAAGAGTCTTAAGCCACTGTAATCCAAACACCAATGCCTCAGTCTTAGCTGGATAAGAAGTTGTTGTCCTAGCGAACTCAGCTGATCCCCACCACCCTCGATTGAAAGGGACTTTTTTATGAGATTCCTCAGCACTTTAAAGAGACATATTCAAATAGCAGAAATGAGATCAATTTAAGTTTTCCAAGGAGTCAGAAAGTTGACTCACTGCCCCACTCAGTTGGACACAGTTGTTCTATTTGTTGTCCTTTCAGAAGCACAAAGTACACTTCTGTCTGGGGCCTGTATACAACCTGTCAGAAAGAATTAAGATTTGTTGGCGCCATCAGAACCAAAGCTGCCAGAGTAATTAGCTTTCCCTAGTCTTCCACTCTTTTTTTTTTTAATAAAGATTTTTTATTAAGATTTTAAACTAAAAACTAAAAAATATCAATCATCAAATACATTGGACGTACTGGGTCAGCCCCCTATAACATATCTTTTTAACATATCTGAATCATATTCAAATCAATTTATAAAAATTTAAAAACATCTTTAAATCTAAGCCAAGTCCCATTTCTCCAGCCAATCATAAAAAGGTCCCAAGTTTGATAGAAGTCAGTATCTTCTTTCTCCTTCAGTGATAGAGTCAATCTGTCCATTTCTGCACAGTCCAGAATCTTTTATCAAATCAGTTCCTCTGTGGGTAGTTCCTCACTCTTCCAGTATTGAGCAAGCGCAATCCTCGCCGCTGTGATTAAATGTACCATCAAATACATTTCTTGTTTGCTAATATTTTCTGGTATAATGCCTAACAAGAAAACTTCAGGTTTAAAAGCTAAGGGTTTTTGTAGCATTTCCTCGAGCCATTTATGTATTTTAATCCAATACTTTTTCACATATTCACAGGTCCACCACATATGGTAAAAAGTACCCACATCATGTTTACATTTCCAACATCCATTTGACATATTTGGAAACATCTTAGCTAATCGACTTGGCAACAAATACCATCTATAAAACATTTTATATAAATTTTCTTTATACGAAGTTGCTAAAGTTACCTTAATATTTCTCTCCCATAGCTTTTGCCACTTTTCTGATTCAATACTATATCCAAAATTTTGTGCCCTTGTTATCATAGTTTCCTTAACCTGTTCCCCTTCCATTTTCCTCTCAAGTAAGAACTCAAATTCTTTTAATCATTTTCTCATCTGTTTTTAGCCTCACTTGATCAAAGGCTGTTAGGTCTTTATAAAACCCCCATATTTTACAGTCTGTAGCATATCTTGATTGCATCTGCACCTTATACCACCAAGAGATATTAAGTCCCTGTTCTTGTATTTCTTGATCTAGTTTCAAGCCTCCATCCTTATCCAAAATATCATCATATCTTATGATACCTTCAAAATTCAATACATTTGGATACACAAAAGCTTCCATAGGTGAAAGCCATCTTGGTAATTTATTATACAATTTTGACTGTAACTTTTCCCACACTGACATTAATGATCTTTTTATAAAGTGACTTTAAAAAGTCCCATGAGACTTAACCTTCTCGTACCACATATAAGCATGCCAACCCATTTGCAAATCATGACCTTCAAGATACAAAATTATCTTATTTTGCAAGGTTATCCATTCTTTTAGCCAACTTAAAATAGTACAACATCCAATCAGGAAGACCAAAACCCCCGTTCTTTTTGGTTTCCTGAAGCATTTTTAATTTAATCCTTGCTTTCTTTTTTCTCCAAATAAATCTCGAAACTTGAAAATTTAAATCCTCAAAACAATTTTTATAAATTTTTACGGGAATCATTTGGAACAAAAACAAAAGTTTTGGTAGTATATTCATTTTAACAAGTGCTATTCTTCCCATCAAAGACAGTTGTAAATTGGCCCATTTTTCCAGATCACCTTTAATACCCTTCAATAATTTATCATAATTGTCTTCTTTCAAAGTTGTGCATTTAGCTGTAAGATAGATTCCCAAGTATTTAACCTTTTTAACAATCTGTAAGTCCACTTGTTCTTGGAGTCTCTTTTTCTGATCTTGCATAAGATTTTTAACTAAAAGTTTAGTTTTTTCTTTATTTTCATCCCTGGAACTTCACCATATTCTTCAATCCGTTGTAAAAGTTTAGGGATTGTTACAAAGGGTTCCTCTGTTATGAAGACCAAATCATCTGTGAATGCTTGCAATTTATAATTTTCATCCCTAATTTTATTTATTTTTTTCAATTTTATTTTTCAATTTATATCCTGCTTTTTCCTACAAAGGGCTCAAGGCAGCTTACATCATTCTCCTCCTCCATCTTATCCCCACAACAACAGCCCTGTGAGATAGGCTGGGCTGAGAGTCTGTGACTGACCCAAAGTCACCCATTGGCTCCATGGCCAAGCGGGGACTCGAACCCGGATTGCCTGAGTCCCAGTCCCACGCTCTTAACCACTAGACATTTCTATTCAAGACCTCTTAAGTCAGAATGAACAATAGGGGTGACAACGGGCACCCTTGCCTTGTACTCTTTTGTATCTCTATCGCCCTTGTAAGTTCTCCATTAATTAAAATCCTGGCCGATTGTCTTTGATAGATGCTTGATATCGCATTCATGAATTTTCCCCCAAACTCCATTTGCGCCATCTGTTGCTTCATGAATTGCCAGTTAACATTATCAAAGGCTTTCCGGGCATCCAAAAACAGCAGAGCCATTGATTTTTCCGTGTGCGTCTCATAGTATTCTAGGATATCCAAGACAGTCCTCAGGTTGTTCTTCGTTTGTCTTTTAGGCAGGAAACCATTTTGGTCTGGATGAATAAAGTCTGTTAAAAGCTTTTTCAGCCTTTCTGCCAATAAAGAGGCAAACATTTTATAGTCCACATTTAGTAATGATAGAGGTCTGTAATTTTGAATCTGTGTTAAGTCCATATCTTCTTTCGGTATTAATGTGATGTTTGCCTCTGTCCAAACGTCTGGTATTTTAGCATTTAACAATGCTTCATTACATATATCTTTAAGAAATGTAGCAAAAACTCCCTCAAAAGATTTGTAAGATTCAGCTGGTAGCCCATCCGGACCAGGGGTTTTATCGTTCTTTTGTCCTAGTCTTCCACTCTTTAAAGTATGGGAACTGAGAACCCAAACAGGTCCTCAGCTCTCAGTTTTGCAGATAGCAAAACTGTTTCTCCGTTAAAGAAACTCCTGATGTTCTACAGGTTCTATGTCTTAAAAATACATTAATTAAAATTAATAAAAATGTATACCTGGGCAATTATAATTATTAATAGTCAATGCTTTCTGGACAGTTCACATCATCTTGAATTTAACTTTTGTGCCTTGAAAAGCTAGATTCTATGACAGCTCAAATTATGCAAATGTGCATAATTTCTTTTATTTTTCATAATTTGCTATTTGTATTGCGCATCACTTATCCTGGTTTTGCTAGAGGGAGTGAAGCCCCATCCCCAGCTACATGTTTGTGGGTGCCCTGCACAGCTGGCAACCAAGAAAGAAAATGACCCAGCAACCAAGCCATAAAAACTAATAGAGATAGTACCTGCAGTGCTCAATTGTCCAGCTTTTGTTTACAACACATCCCTGTGTATGCATGTACCACACACATTTTATAAATCTTTCCTTCCAGCTTGTGTCCTTGTTCTCACAAGCAAGGTATAATGATGCTTTGGTTTAAGTAGAATCTTCCATGTAGAATAATGTCAGGCTTCTGGAATCCCAGCTATGGAGGCTTCTAGACTGGTAATATTTAGGCACTGATGTCTATGAGCAGTCATAATTTTTCTTAGCCCCTGCTAATCCTGTTTGCATGCCACATGCTTTGTAACAGAGGGTGCATTCCTCTTTTTAAAATCTGCATTCTTGTGATGTCTGCATCTTAAAGGATTCTACACAGGGGCTGAAAGTCACCGTGTTGATTCAAATATGATGGTTTGTGCAATTGATTCATGGACCTGGTTTGTGGGAAGCAATCCTGGAACAATGGGTTAATAATGACCTGGAACAGTGTAATCAAGCATGTAATAGTCCTTAACTCATCCACATGAATTAACACCCAATTTGCTAGTGTTTGTGTTGCCTCCATTTTAAATATGCAGTCCTAAGTCAGTCTGATCAGCAGTTGCTTTATGATGTGCAAATCTCAACACTAGGATACATCATTCACTGAACACCTCTGAGCCAACTTACAATTTTTTATTAGGTTAACCATGAACTATTTAGTAGAAAATTAACTCAATCGTGAAGCAAATGCCAATCAGGCCAGCCAGAGGATGCATATTCAGAATGTCAGTGGCATGTACTGGCCACGTGTCATGGCAAATTGTAGGTTAGATACACCCACAAAAAGAACCTATATTTTATGGCTGTGTTATAAATAGTGGGTTTTTAAACCATGGGTTGCCATTACGTGCAAACCCAGAACTGTGGGTTGTTTCACAACTATGGAGGCAGCAAGTGAGAGTGGTACAGCCCCCTCCAGCCTCTTTGTATGCCAGTGCTGTGGTATTTTTTAGATATAAGAAGGGAGTGGGCAAAGGATGAGGGAAACAAACATTGGAGAGACTGAGAAAACAAACTATGGTTTGTTCAATTGTTTGCCAGTCAACTCGTTTATTTGCATGTAATGACGACTCTTTGGTTAAAAAAAAATGAGTTGCTCTGCATGTGTGAGGCAGTGCACCTCACCTCTTCTGCTTGTACTCTGCAAGCCACAATCAGTAGAGTTTGTGGAGTAAGACATATAAACCTCCCTCATGCACGACAATCCACCTTTTTAAAATTAACATGTTGTCATCACATGTGAACCAAGTCAAATCCTGGGGGGTGCAACAGTCTGTGGTTTAAATAGGATTTTGTGCAAGCCAAACCATTTTGCCATAGGATTGTTAAAAGAATTTATGCTGGATTTGGGTGCCAGGTCAGGGAGGTGATTGGCTTCAGTGTGTGGGCCATGCTGGCTGAGACTGAGAAGTGCAGTCCAAGACGTTCCCAGCTGGAGAAGCTTGGCTTTGAGTAAGAGTTAACAGGAATCCTGTTCTGTGAAAGAAAGTGGCGGGGGGTGGGCGGTTGTCATCTATGAGCAGTAGAAATGGCAGAAGATGAGAGTATAAGTGCAGGAACAAATTCTGCATTCCTTATGAAAACAGGAACCCGCCTACAGGGGGGATGCCCTTGTTTCCTTTGCAGGCCCCAGCCTTGCAGGGCAGCATTTTGGGGCATTTGCCAGTCCCCTAGACTTCAGGAGGGTCCCCTGCTGAACCAAACCTACCCTCACCCTTGCAGATCACCCCACCTTTCATTCCTTACTGCATGGACCTCCTGGGACCCCAACCTTCATGCTGAACTGCAACCCGAATCTCTCTGTACTGCATTCTCAGCAGTCTCTGGAGTTTTCTGAATTAGGTGGCATGGATGGTGTGAAGGTGAAAGCAAGAGCAGCATGCACATTTCAGGACAGCAGAGCAGAATGAGTTCACACCTGATGCTGTAGCCACTGGCCACTGCAGCAGGCGTGCCTGTGTGCACCCTTAGAGGCCTCTGTGCTTGTTCCATAGCACCAGGTCCTCCACAAGTGTTGCAGACACCATAGCTATGAAGTGACTGTGAAACTCTCTTCTCCCTAGGCCCCGGCAAGGTGCTTTGAAGGCAGCAAGGTAAGTGCAATCACTAAGTATTCTGGATCCTGGGACTCTTTGCAATGTCTCATCTCCCACCCACTCTTCTCCCCCCCCCCTTTCCTCCAAAAGGAGGAGGAGACCCAAGGGACGCAGCAAGAGGAAGCGGGCAAAGCAGAGACCCAAAAATTGATCTCTATGTGAGTATCAACACCCGGGAGCTGGGGAGGAATAAATACAGTGATTCACAGATAAAGGTAGATGTTTTCTGCCAATAGCATTTGCTTTGGATCAAGTTTGCCAGCATGGATGATGTGAAGCTAGTGCATTTCACTGCAAGGAAAGTTTCTTGCTCATCTCAAAGTCCTGTAGTACTTTCTAAGTATGCACTACATCTGTGTGGTTTCTTACAATTAAAATTTTCACCTCTAATTGAAATGCATTTCATTTGCTATATGTCATTTGAAAGCTAACAACTAAATCTTCCCATTTAATACAGCCTTGAGATAAAAAATAGAGCTCATGCCAAGGGCTTGAATGATTTGTTTGCTTTTGTTGTCCAGAAAGTAAACTTTAACCTTTCAGGCTGAAAAAACATAACAGTGGTTTATTTGAACAGATTGGAGCCCTTATCTACTGAAACAAAGGATATGGAAAGGATGTGAAGAGATATATGTAGGAAATTTTCCATTGTGCCATTCTGATGCGAGGAACAATGCTTCTGTGCTTTATAGAGTTGAGGGTACAACCTTGCTTCTCCAGCTCACAGAATCCTCATTTTTAAAAAAGAAAATGTTTCTTTTTGGTGTCCATGAATCTGTTTTGCCGAAAATAAAGAAAAGAAAAAAATCATGCAGTGGGAAAAGGGAGGCCTAATAAAGGCTCATCCAGAGAGCCTCTCGATGGAGAAACAAATTAGGTGGCCATCTTTTCCCAGCCCAGTGCTCTCAAGACACGCCGGACTACAATTCTAATTATCCCTAGTCAGCACAATGTCTCATGATAGGTTGACCCATTGCACCTTTTATACTTACAATTATATTCTTGCTCAGCAGTATAACAAATAAGGCAGATCATTACTGTTATTATGAACATTTGTTTTACTGTAATTATTACTACTTTTGTGACTTAGGGTAGTTGGTGTCCTCTTTTATCGAGGAGAGTTCTCAGTTTGATTGGTTCTCCTGTTCTGTTCTGGTTTTAAGATAACAAACCAAAGGAACATTTAGCACCTCAGAAACCAGCCGAACAGGCAAGACACCCAGGCCACAGTGAAATGTCATGTGTTTCTATTAACATTATTATCTTGTTTTGTATTGGGGTTATACATTTCCTCTTTTTTAAATGATTCATAAGTGGCCATCCTAATCAAGAGTGACTGAATTACTGGCTAGTCTGATTTGGAGGGCACCAATATCCAAATCCCTTAGACAAGCATATGAAACCATTTGACATGAAAGTGAAAATTTACATTCAGAGGATTTTGTTTATCTGGAGAAATGTTCTTTTTGTGGTTCCTTTGGATTTTAGGGCTGTATTTATTTACTGAGTATTTCATAATGTAACCTTGGCAGTTATGTTATTGTTACAGTTAAGTGCTTCAGGACTGTTGGCTTGGGTCCTAAGGCTTAAGTTCACAGAAGGAAAGTTTCTTGCCTGCTTTTCCCTTACTGTAGTCCTGCTCTTCTCTCCAAAAAGCCTCTGCAGAGAGGATCCCTTTTGTATTACTTTGGCATATAAATTAAATAAATGAATAAGAACCTAAGAGCAATGTGGGATGGGATACAAAAGGCTACTGAGTGAAGGGAGAATTGCTCCAAATAGTACAGATCTCACTTCCCAAGCCCCCTGCCTCCCCAGTGGCCTCCTGCATCACATGTTGTTCAGGAGGGTTTCTGACCCTCAGAAACATGAAGGGGGCCAGGCAGACAGACAGGAAATTCTCCCTCTGTGATCTTGCTTAGCTATTTTAGGATCCAAGCCATTGGTTAGAATGATTATACAAATATAAATTGGACAGCAGGGCCTTCATTTTCTGAAAATTGCTGCAGCCTACATGCTGCATCTAACCCATACTGTTGCCTGGCCATCTGGGTTATGCTAGGGCAGGGATAGGAAAGGAGCAGTCTTCCCAAGGTAGTTTGACTGCAGCTTCTTTGACAATGCCGGCTAGAGGTACTGGAAGTTGCAGTCCCACAGCATCTTGAAGGCCACCTGTTCCCTATCATTGCGCTAAAGCCTTTCATTAATAAACTCACATTTATTCCCTATAACTTAACAGTTGAGCCAAAAGCCCAGATTTGCAGTATGCAAAACCGAAATCAGTCAATATGAGATAGTGTTTTTCTGCATACTGATAGAGACACATCATTTTATTTCCTGTATTGTTTTATACTCAGCCCTATTCTGAAAGTTCAGTATGGATATAAACATGAAATCCATCACTGCACAAGCAGAAGTATGTGGCAGGACTTTCTTCTTTCTGCGCTCAATTGCAACCTGCCTACATTCCACCAAATCTGCTTTGCAGAGTCCCCCCGTCCTTTGGAGCAGAATTTGAGGGCACATAGGGGCTGCTGAAGGAATTCAAAATATCACTCCTGCTTTCTGCTAATGGAAGCAGTTCCATCAGTGGGAAGAATCAACTGAAAACCACCCTCCTCCTTCTCCTTCCATTGCATTTATATTCCACTTTCTTCCTTTTGCAAGGAACTCAAAGTGGCTTACAAGGTTCTCCTCCTCTGCACTTGATCCTCAGATCAACAACCCTGTGAAGTAGTTTCGGCTGAGAGGAAGTGACCAGCCCAAAGTCACCCAGTGGATGTCCTGGCTGAGTAGGGGCTAGAACCCAGCTCTCCTGTGCTCCAGTCCAGCACTCTTAACTGCTGCCTCACACTGGCTGTCCCCTCTAAGGCCTCCTGTTGTATTCCCTGAAAGCAAGGTGCCCCAGATCTAGAAAGAGATGTTCACTTTCCACGTCTGGTATTAGACCCAGCTATCTCTTTGCTGCAATTGTTGAGCCCGTTCTATGCTTTCTTTCCAGGTGTGCTGTTTGATGAAGGTGGCTGCTTTGTCAGCAAAGGCCACGTCCCAGTGCCTGCATATATTCCATAGTCCTCTTCAACACTCCTGTATACATGAGCCAATTGCATTTTTGACGGATGAATTCTGGGGGACTCAGCTCACATGCACTTGCAACTCCTGAGCAAAATCAAGAGGATCAAAGACAATATAACAGTGGGAAATACTTCAGGCCAGCATGAAGGAGATGCTTATTATAATTGCATACAAGGAAGTTGCTCTAGGGCCAGGTGAATGGAACAGTCAGAGGGGAAGCTGCATATTGGCTAGGTCCATTTCCTGCCAACGTATAGGCAATAGTTCATGCTGACATCTGCAGGATCAGGGTTAAACAGGAATATGAGAAAAGAGCAGTGGGTCCGGTGTGCAAATTCAACATTATGGAGTTTGAAAAACGTAGAACAAACCAGCTAAGGACAGAAGTAAACACTTCCTGCTGAATTGTCTGGATGCTATAGCCTGGCTAGGGATTGAGGTGCCAGAAAATAGTCAATCAAGCCAAGCTTCGCCAGTTGTTGGCTAAGTCATGTTATTTTTACCCATGCTGATACATTAGGGATGCATTCTATGCCAAGGACTCATGTTTCAGAAGAAACCATGGTTGGCCAACCCCAGTCCATCTCAGTGATCTTTTGCCTTGATGAACTGGATGAACTAAAGTTCTGCATAAAGTAGCTTCCTGGAAACTGTGGAAAGAGCTGCTGTGTTCTGAGACAATGGACCCTGTTCTGAAGGAAGCCCCAGCTAGTTATGAATGAGGGGAAACACCATGCACAGCGCTCAGGTTTAGTGCACAAATAGAATTTCTGTTAGTTCTGGTTGTTGCCCAAGAGAGAGCAGTGAATACCCTCAACCTGTAAGGTTATGCATACTATAAAAGTGCACAGAAGCACTTGACCCAACAGATTTACAGTAGTATCCTGTGCTTGGCAAGTCTGTCCCTCTCTGCTGTATGTTTGTCCATTGCATTCACCTTCTGACTATCAGCTGCAGAGGCTTTTGTCCACGTAACTGGCTCCAGGATGACTGGGAAGTGCTGTCACAACATTCGCTAGTGAATCATGCTGGTGCAACCTGCTCCTCTTTTCCATCCACTTTCCCCCATTTGTGCCTCCTCTACCAGGTTTGCACATTTTTAAGTTTGCATATGTCACCCTGGCACATTGGGCAGTGGTACCAATGCAGTCAAAAGCACCCATTTCATGGCAGAAATGCAACAATACAAGGTCAGTTAGCAACCATCCATATAGGAAAGGGAAAATAAAGTGTAATTGCAGGTGGATTGTACAATAATAGTCAAACTCACTATGAAAAATTGCAAAGCAATATCCATAATTTCTGATGAACTCTGAGATTAGGACTGGGAAGAAATCTTGAGGCCGTTGTGGGCATTTTACAGAGAATGACTTTCAGCGCATTGCACCTGCACCAAAGTTCAAACAGGATATGAGGGCATGTCACAAAAAGAGCACAGAATAACAAATATATATATAATGACATAGATAAATCAATGCTGAGTATTTTATGAATCCTGGATTCTTTATCCTGGAATAGTGATGACTCAGCAATGAACTGAGTGACACATCGTATTTAAATGCTTTTAGTCTGAAGGAAACTAGGAGAGAGTGCCCAGTTTATGCTTTCATATAGCAAAAGAGGGACAAGATGTGGCTGAAATGCACATCTAGTAGGTCTAAAGCAAGGATGATGGTGCAGTTATGCATGCTGCACAGGTATTCCATGGAATTCTCTGCCATGGGATGTTGTTCTTACATACCAGCAAGTGCTTTCCAATTTATGGTGACCCAGTGAATGAATGCCCTCCAGAATGTTCTGTCTTTGATAGCCCTGCTCAGTCCTTGTAAATTCAAGACTGTGGCTTCCTTTGTGGAATCAGTCCACCTCACGTTCGGTTTTCCTCTTCTGCCTTCAACTTTTCCTAGCATGACTGTCTTCTCCTATGAGTCTTGCCATTTCATAATGGCCCTGAATTACAAGATCCTTGGTTTCATGTTTTTTGCTTCCATGGAAAGTTCTGGCTTGATTTGATCGAGCACCCATTAGTTTATCTTTCTATCAGTCCAGGGTATTTGCAAAGCTCTCTTTCCAGCAGCATGTTTTGAAAATGATCTAAACAAAATGTTCCGTACAATATAGGAAAGATCAATAGCTATTAATCAAGGTAGGACATGCACCCTCAAGCTCAGGTTGTTCCAGGATTTACAACTGCTAGAGATTCCTAATGAAAACAGGAAATTGAGTATTCCCTAATGTGCTCTGCATCTGTACACGCTCCGGATAATATCGAGAACTGGCCACTGTTGGATATAGATTTAGGTGGATCATTGGTCTGGCCAGTGGATTTGCTATTTCTTATTTCACAATAATCAGTTTGCAATCTGATATTGATCCTGGTCCTGTGGTGAAGTCTTTTTTTCTATGGGTTGTAGTGGGACGTACATTCCTGCTTTTCTGTTCAGTGCAATGCAGCATGATTCCAAATATGTTCTAAATAAAACGTGCTGAAAATCCAGATACAGCTTCTTTCTTTTCATCAGCTCACCTCAGCATCTTTTCTGGTAAAGCAACTTCTAAGAACCAGGAGGTATATCTACCTCCTGAGGATTCATAGTACATTGATCCCCATTCATGTGATCCTTCATTAATCCCAAATAACATACCATGGGTAAGAATACACAACTCAGTGGAAAATGATTTGGAAGAACAAAGTTCTTTGATCTGTCATGCTCCTTGTGCTTTGGGCAAATATTCCCTACAAGTGAAGCAGAGACAATACACAAACCTTTCTGTACACCATAGGAGACTTGTAAAAAAAACCCAATAAGAATGCTGGAATTCTGGTATATTGTGGTAAAGGAAACCAGATAAGTATATTGATGGTGGTAGGTGCAAGTTCCTGTTTAAATAAAGTTTCTGTTTTACTCGATACCTCTTTTGAGACTGCAGCATTTCAGAAATCCTCAAAATGACAGTATTTGGGTTGTATCTGGAATGTAGTTAAGTACACACTAGACCTGGATTAGAAGTTATATATTTGGGACTCCACCTAATTCTGGTTTGTGCTTTTGCCCTTTATTCTAATACTTGCTGATAAAACAGAGTTCTCCAGCAGAAGATCCAGAGTTAAAAGTAAAAGATTCAGAAGTCCTGAGCATTTCAGTGAAATCAGTATTAAAGTGAAGAATGCAGACCGCTGGGGAACTATTTCTGCCGTCATACTGGACAAATATGTCTAGTAGGGTAATCTAAACTGTTGTTAATGGGACAGCTGTCCCTCAGCATGAATGTGGGGAGCAAGAATATGCAGCAGGAGTGATACTTAAAGGCTTTCTCTCAAAGTTACAGTCTTGTTATTTAGAACCTGGGCTGTGTGCAGGACTGGGCCTACCATCGGGTGGTGGGAGGCAGCAGCCAAAGCCGGGTTTTGGAGAGCAGGAGCAAGAGCAACATGTTGGAAGTGAGAGCTGTACGTATGTGCCATGTAGCCTGCTGATCTCAAGTGCAGCGGTGGACCCCTTCCTGTTGTCATCCACCTCCACAGTATTCAGCTTCCACTGGTTGGCTTTTGTACATGGAAGGCGGGTAGGTACCATCATCTTTTGTCTTAGGCAGACAAGTGGCCAGGGCCGGCCCTGGTTGTGTGAAGCTGTGACAAAGAAAAATTGCTGCTAAACCTGTATAGAATATCTTCCCCTTAACTCAGCCCCAGCAGCGGTTCGAGGAAACGATTTCGAGAAGAAAAAAGAACGTAAGAACATAAGCGAGGCTGTGCTGAATCAGACCAAAAGTCCATCCAGTCTGGCACCCTGTTTTCACAAGTGGGCAGCTACAGCTCCCCCCACCATTTTTTTCCAAAAATGCAACGGTAACCACAGTGTGCATTGGAATAGGTGGGGCAGAACTGAGGTAGTTTTCATCTCAAAGTAAAATCACGTATTTAAAATCACGTACTGTCTTTGACTGCAGTTAGTTCCTAGCCCCTCACGTTCTCCAGCCTCTGCTGTAGCTGAAAAGCAGCCGGTACTTTGCCGGGCTTTCCGATTCCCCTGTTTCTACGCAGCTACTTCTCCTTTGGAGCCTGCAGCTTCGCAGGCGCTGCCTCTTTAAGAGAGAACCGGGCAATGGGCAGCCTGGCGATTGGTGCTTTATTCTAAGAGCCTGGATGATGAGCTCATCCGCAGCCAATCGGAGGAGCCGCGGACCCCCAGACCCCGTGAGCTGGAGCCTATACCTGATTCCTAGGCAGAGGAGACGGTCCCGGCCCTGGGATGGAAGTCGCCGTGGGGGAGCCTCTGCAAGCGCCGCTCTCCAACCGGCGTCCCAGACATAATCACGCCTCCTCTAGGTACTGCGTTGCCTCCTCCTCGCGTGTCTGTGGCACCTGCCCCCTCCGCTCTGCTCTCCACCTGTGCTCTCCTGGCTCACCCGCCGCGGTGCACCGGCATCACCCCCGGCGCCAGATGCTTTCAGAATTACAATCCCTTGGAACAGGCAGGGTTGAAATAGGTTGGCTTTGCTCATCTGCATTTCTTGGCATTGCTTATTTGAGTCTTTCCGCTCTGCAGTGGCGTGGGGGAATAAAGGAAATACAGCCATCTCCTAGTGGGGCCTGTTCGATGGCTTAGCATCAGCACCACTGCCTCGCTTAAATCTTTCTGGCATTCCTGCACTGTACGTCTCTGTAATGACTAGGCCCCTGCTGCTAAACTCAGGCTGTGCCCAGGCCATGGCATTGGCGTAGGAGGTGGTTGGAAGCCTGCTGCAGCCAGAAGGATCTTCTACTACAGGTGTGGGCACAAAGTTGAGCTCTAGCTCTTTTGTATTTCAACTCCCCGGATTTCCAGCCTTAATGGAAGGGAGTTCTGGGAGGTGAAGGGCCAAATATCTAGAGAGCTATCATCTTACCATGCTTCTGAAAGCACCGTTGTCTCCATAAAAGACTCAGTGGTCTTTAACTCCCAGATTCCAGACTAGCCTCATTCTGTTAGAGGTGGCTGTTTTGTTTCCTGTCTGTTAGTAGCAAGAGCCAGAAATAGCCACCTGGGTTTCACTGTTGCTTCCCCAAAAGAAACCACAACATAAAGCAAAACTTAAACAACCCCAATCCAGTTGTTCATACACAGTTGTGCACCCATCTCTGTATAGATCTCCAGTATTCTTTTGATTCATTAGATAGATGAATCAGTTTTTAAACTGTTTAGTTAAAAATACTCATTTATTCTGTAGCATTAAAAAAAAACCCCACTAACTGAAAAAAGATCACAAGTGGGTTGGTCAATAGGGCTGGTAATCTTTAGACTCTGCTCTTAATTGACTTATGAAGAACCCTTTGGCAGATAGTAATGTGCATGATTTCATCTACCTCAAAGTAGAAAAAGCCAGCCCTGCTGCATTTGGGATCCCTCCTGCCCATTTTGCTCAGTAGACTGTGGATTTCCCCTAAAATCTGGCTCTGGTGGCACTGTTGTGGTTGGTTCCTTCTTAAGATGTGTTCCCTATTTTTTCTTATGTGCAAGAGAATTCTCCTTCTAAGATTGTGTTTAACAGAGATAATGTGCATGCCTTGTTTAAACAGAAATGGGGAACCTGCACCCCAGCCAGCATAGCCAATGACCAGGGATGATGGGAGTGTAATCCAGCAATGTTTGGAAGCCCATGGCTTCCTCTTCTTTGGTATGCAAAGGTAGATTGATATTTTATCAGCACTGCTGCTTTTCACATGCTGATGTGAATTAATTTACAAATTAATGTTAATACTCATGCAACTAATAAAGTAGTTATCATTTGGTGACAGCAAAGACTTGGGTGTTTCCAACTACCTCCTGGTACTACTAATCAAAAGACATTATGTAGCTATTCTGCCTTCCTAACATAATTTGTATGGAAAGGAAAAAAAAGGCCAAAGAAGCAGAAGGAAAACATAGAAGGGCTATAAATCATCTGAAGTTCTATCCTCATAAAAAGTTATGAGAGAGGCAAGATAAGAACCTTGTCTGAAAGCACCCTTCCGTTTTGCCTGCAGGGCTTGGCTCTTTCTAGCAGTCTTTTGCTGCTTACTCAAACATTTCACTAAGTGGCTTCCTTCTCTTGTCTGTCTCTAATTATGTCTTTGTTTCAAGCATTACAGGAAATGGGCTGGTGAAGATTTCTTGAGAATGGCCACTTTTTAAGCAGAGTATCTCTTGAGTGCCAGTTTGGCCATGGATTCGGAGTCCTGTACCCGAGCTTTCTCCCAGGCTCGAGTGTATCTTGAGCAAATTCGAAGCCGGGTTGCACCAGGGGCTGTTGATATACATGGAACTGGGAAGCGGGACTACCTGGTGGATGCCGCAAAGCAGATCCGTCTGGCTTTGGAGAGGGATGTAAGTGAGGACTATGAAGAAGCATTCAACCACTACAAGAATGGTGTGGATGTGTTGCTCAATGGAGTGCAAGGTATGATGGGAAATGGGTGGGCTGGCTGGGAGGGTGCTTGCCCAACTTGCAAATTGCCTTACCTCCTGTGGCAATTTCCTTTTGCTCTTTAGGCCACTATTGACTAGCAAAGATCTGTGGCATCTGAAAGCAGGAGCCGAGATCTACAATGTACGTCTTTCTGCATGGTCTTGGACTACAGCTCCCATCATTCCTGGCTAGTGACCAGGCTGGAGCTGTTGAGAAGTGAAATCCAGCATCTGTTTGATTCATATTCTGTTTTAATTGATACCTTTAATATAGTATTTCATTCTTTTTGTCTTTATTTTACTGTGTTTAATTGTTATGCACTACCTTGATGACTTTTTAGCAAATGAATATTAATAATAATTAAATGAATAACTTCTAGAGGATCACAGATTTCTCTGTCCCTGCCTTAAAGATGAACCAATTTATTATGACTGAACATTTCATGAACTAAAAGCCCACTTCTTTATTCAATGTTATCCTAAGTTGGTATGTTGGCAGGGTGAATCTAAACAGTGAGGTCAGGGGACATGAAATGCAAAGAGTACAGACTGTGATGTGCATACACAAAAAGTATATATAAAATAATTGCTGGGACCCAAAAACATGCTTTAGATATTTTTGGGTGGGCTGGACTAATTTGTTTTATTGGTGCATCCTCTAAGATTATGCACGGCTATTGAGACAACCTGCAAACTGAAATCGTTTCTATTGTATTAAAAAGTTTCATAGCATGAAGGTTATCATTGCTCTAATCCCAAACACATACATGTAGAATTCCCACTGATTTCAAGGCTGCTTATTTCCAGATGAGTGTATTTTGGAGAGCAGCATTTGTGAGACAGACTATTTGCAAGCTTCTTGTAGCACACCAGAATGCTTGTGTGCACCTTCATGGTGGGAGAACATATGACTATACGGTTCTGTAATGTCTGTGCAATTAATGGGAGGATAGCAGAACTGATGCTATGATTAGCTGACAGCAGAAAGGGGAAGAGCAATTTCAGTGAATAGTGATGCATCTTTATACTGGAAGATGAGGCAAGCTAATGAAGGTCCAGGTTAGTGGCTGGCTGAGACATGTTGTGACTTTCTCAGTCTTAGGCACTAGATGTGGTAACATGGGGGGAGGGAGGGGGGGGGGGGGGGGATTGAGAGAGAACGCGAGAGCAGAAGGCCCACCAAATGTAGGATAAAATTCTACATCCTAAATATCTGAGATTTTGGTTATTTTAAAAGAAACTTTTAGTAGCTATGACTGTGAAGATATGCTTGAAGATGTGGACAGTATTTGCTGGAATCTCATAAGCCAAAAGATCTCTGAATAAGATTTCCAGTGGTTAAGAATTGTGCTGTGATGCCCTGCAGAACTGGTTGGCCTGGTATACCAATGTAATAGAAGGAGGTGGTAGACTATTCCATATCACTTCAGGCTGCAAGTAGGAGAAATTGGATTTTTCCTCAAAAAAAAAAAAAAATAAAATATTTTTTTTTGCTATATGTCAGAAAAACTAACACCTCAGGAGAAAGATTCTACCCTTTACTCATGTTGTTCTAGTTGCAAAAAGAGGTTTTATTGTTCTTTTAACATAGGGATTTTTAAAAATGTGATCCTCCATCTGCAATTTGATGAAGTAGAGTCTGTTCTGGACTCTTATTATTTCATTCTCCTACCTCATTATGCCACGTATATAGGCTAGGCTCTTACCCATCCAGATAGCTAGGTAAAACCAGAAAAAAGGCAAAATAAGATAAAATATGCACCTATGCATAATTTATACAGGATACAGAGTTTGATTTTCCTACTTCAGAACTGGATTGCCTGGCTACTAAATTTGGCGTTTTTGTCATGTGCTGCACACAACATGGCCTTGGCAATAAGGCAAGTGCTGTCATGTTGGAAAAGGCAGATGATCTAGAAAGAACCACATATGTAAAATGAGGGCTAAGAACACTCGATGTACATGACTCTCGCACAGTTGAGCCTAACAAGGAGCGTCGTGAAGCTGTGAAGCGGAAGATCACCCAATATTTGAAACGTGCAGAAGAAATCTTCATTTGCCATCTACAACGGAATCTGGGGAATGGAAATTCAACTGAAACGGTAAGAAATGGGGTGGGTTAGGTGTAGGCCCGTTGTTGAAGCGTTCGAAATGTATGTGCAGTGACACAGAGCGGGCTCAGTAGACATGGCAAGCAAGAACATGACTTGCATCCTGCCTGAATTCAGATATTCTAATCTAGGGAGACTGTGCAGCATGCTGAGTGAGGGAGCATCAATTTAAAGCTAGGAGCAACAGATTTCAAGAATATCCTACTGGCAATCTCTGAAGATTCAACAAATACACCAAGTGGATTCAAGGAGGTTCAGATAAGCATTCAGTGCGTTTTTGTCCCTCCTCATCTGCAAGCTGGGACTGGCTGGCAGTGCAGTCTGTTGTATGGCAGGAGCTGTGATCGAAATGTGCAACAGGAAAAGGGGAAAGTGGGTGTGTGCGCAAGGTAGCCAGATCAACAAGCATGTAGAGGTTTTCTTAATTTGTTGTGCTTCCTGTAGTGCTAAGTAGTCACTGAAGAAAGCTGATTTCCAGCCTTTTCCCAATTTGGGATAAAAGAGCTGACTAACTCAGAGACAGGGTATTTCCCGTTTTGCTGGACTTTAAGAAAGAACTGTATATTCTTAGGCCAGGTGGTCTTATTTTGAACTGGAAAGGGAAGAGACCAATGGGTGAGTACCAGAGGAACATTTAATGAAGTGCTGTTTGGATACAGGACAGTGAGGATCCAGACCTGCATTATTTTACTGTGCATGTTTGGAAACTAGTTGAACCAAATAAATACTTTGCAGCTGCAGAGAAGTCTTGTTAATATATTTTCAGTGACGGGGGCGGGGGGGGGGGGGTGGGGTGCTCATGGCCCTCTGTCTGTTATCTGACTAAATTCCTTGACCACTGAGACTACTGCAAGTTGGGAGTCCAACAACATCTGCAGGCCGTGTGTTCCCCAGTCCTGGTCTAGCAAACACACAGAAATGAGATGGTTGCTGGGCAAGACTTCCTTGCTTAGTGAATGATGAACCGTTTCAGTGTAACCGAGATAGATTTCTGTCTGCCTGGTCACTCCCTTTTGCCTCTGTTGTTACATCTTTAATCTGTCCTTCTCAGAGAGGTCCAAGTACTCTAAATGCCTGAATCTTAGAAGCTAGATGAGCAGATGCTGACTGCATAAACATTTGCAAATGCCGTGCCTGATTTTGGATTTCTAAGCACAAAGTCTGAATTCCATTGATACAAACGCCCAGTGTGGACATGCAGCCTGCTCACATGAGGTGGAGTCTACTGATTTGCAGTTTGCACAGAGGCTTCTACTTGGGGGCAAGAGAAGGCAAATTGAAGCCCCTCAGATCTTCTTCCCCCGTATGCATCCTTAAGATGCCATCCTTTAAAGATACACCCACAGAGAACATTTATAATTCAGTGTATGTAAATTTGTTCATTTTGTAATGCCCTACGGGAACTGAGCATTGTCTCTGCACCTCGCTCCACTAAACACTGCTCTAGCTAGTTTTCCAAATGAAGATCTTCTCTGTGCTTATTGATTGACAGGGTTACAGCAGCCTTCGCTTTCGGCCCATTAGGACTCTCAGCACACCAGTGGAGAACCTGAAGCGCTGTAAAGTTGTGGGAATCATTGACAAGGTAACTCATTGTATGCACCTGGAAGTATCTATGATATTGGGTGCTTAGTCACTGCAAAGCCCTGTCCAAGGGTGTGGTGCTTGCCTTTCAAGCTCTAAATGGTTTTGGCTCAATAGTATTAGTATTGCATTGCATTTATATCCTGTTTTTTCCTCTAGTGAGGAACCCAAGGCAGCTTACACAGATTCAGGACTCCGACACAGCAGCAACTGCCAGCCACGAACCAGCAAAATTAAGTCTCTTGAGAGCCATGGGGGAAGGACAGTGATCCTGGCTTCAGGGTTCCCCAAGGCCCCCTTCCAAAACTAATGGGGGTGCTCAGACTCTGTGAAGGTCCCCTCCACTGCACCCTTGGTGTCACTAAAGGCCCGTCTTGCACTCTGTGGTATTCTCAGAGAGAACTGCTCTACAGCGGCCCCCTCTGTCTTGGAACGCCTTCTCATGGAAGGTGTTCCTGGTGCAGAAGTGGTCTTTTTTCAGTTTCACATCCAAACCTTTTAATTTGCAGAGGCATTTTAAAAAGTTTTCAGAATTAACACTTTTACATTTAAATCAGTATCTTTCTAGCCTCATGTGTGGATCTTAGATTGTTTGTATTGTATTTTATTGTATGGCTTTTAGAACATTTTATATATGCCACCCTGAAATTCCTTTTGCATTAAAAGCACAGTTTATACATTTTAAAGGTAAATACTATACAGTTGTAGCAGAAGCAATGAAAATCCCTGGGGCACGAACCTATCTCTTGTGACAAGAGTTTTCAGAGGCCACAAACTTATTATGATTTCATGAAGTCATGAAGCTGGACATAAGAAATATGTTAGATTCAAACTGCCTGTTAACTCCAGTGTGTAGCATACAGCTATATGAGAGGGTTTTCTTACTCAGAGTAAGCTCAGGAACTTACACCAGATGGAGACCCTAGTGTAGGAATTTGGGGACTTGAACATTTGTGCTTTGCTGAAGTCTGTATCCAGCTTGCTTCTCCTACCTTATCACACCTACAGTTCCCATAGAGGAGAACATTCTCACTGAAGTGAAAGGGGCCTTTTTCCCTTACAGAAATTACAAGTATGGTCCAACTAGTTGGGGCAAAGGGCTGAAGCGCCCCCACCCTCCACTCTAGGCCCTGATCTGGTCCAGATCTCCATACTTACTTTTGTATAAAGCAAAAGCACTGATATGCTGCAATAGGGTCTCTGTAAACTATCTGTGGGCATTAGTATTTTCCTATAGGAGCAGGCTGTCCTGGAGAATGTGGTGTTGATCTGTGCTTGTGTTCCTTGTAGGTGCAGTTAGTGCAGGATCCAGCTACAGGGGGGACTTTTATACTGAAGGTACGTGCCTCCCCCTTACTCTGTCTTTTCCATTTGGCCATCCTAGGCACAGTGATACCACAGAACCAAAATAGCTTTGAATCTTCTTGACTTAATCTTGCTCTGTTTGGTAATTTGTGAGGCTATTGTAGAGCTGAATCTATTTTGGGAAGCTTCCAACATGTCCTGTGCTATAGGGGAATTCCTTTTGTTTGCATATCTATGACTAGCTCTCTCTCCTTTCAGAAGGAAATAGTGCATTCTTATATATTAAAATATAAACAGATTTTCAAAGGACAAATCCAAAGCCTTTGCACAGAGCATCCCAAATTGCTGAGAATCTTTGTTTTGTTTATTTGATCCTCTTGGGAGAATTCTTAGGGAGAACAGGGGCTGTTGCTACAACTGAAACTTTAAAAGAAAAATAGATAAGAAAAAAATCACACATTTATCTGACCTTTCGGTTCTAGGAAGTCACTGCATTTAGCAGTCCTTGGCTGATGAGTAAGACATCTGTGGCCCTCTAGATGTTGTTGGACTCCAACCCTCATCATCCCCTATCAGGGATGATGGGACCTGTAGGCAAGAATTATGTAGAAAGGCAGGTTCTTAACCTCTCCTTGGAGTAGTGTTAGTAGTTGTATCTTATCCTTCATGGATCACTGCCTTGTTGTGGTGAAGGGGCTTGCATAGCTCAATGAAGCTATGAGCTATGCCGTGAAGGGTCACCCAAGACGGACAGGTCATAGCAGAGAGCTCTGATAAAATGTGATCCACTGGAGAAGGAAATGGCAACCCACTCCAGTATCTTTGCCATGAAAACCCCATGGACAGTACCAAAAGGCAAAAAGATATGACGCTGGAAGATGAGCCCCTCAGGTCGGAACGTGTCCAATATGCCACGGGGGAAGAGCGGAGGGCTAGTACTAGTGGTGCCAGAAAGAATGAAGCAACTGGGTCAAAGCCAAAAGGACACTCAGTTGCCGAAGTATCTGGTAGTGAAAGGAATGTCCGATGCTGCAAAGATCTATACTCCATAGGAACCTGGAATGTAAGATTCATGAATCAAGGCAAGCTGGATGTGCTCAAACAAGAGATGACAAGACTGAACATCGACATCGTAGGAATCAGTGAACTAAAATGGACAGGAATGGGTGAATTTAATTCAGATGACCATCAGGTATACTACTGCAGGCAAGAGTCCCTCAGAAGAAATGGAGTAGCTTTCATAGTCAATAAAAGAGTAGGAAAAGCAGTACTGGGATACAGTCTCCAAAATGACAGAATGATCTCAGTTCAAATCCAAGGCAAACCATTCAACATCACAGTAGTCCAAGTCTATGCCCCAACCACTGGTGCTGAAGAGGCTGAAGTTGACCGGTTCTTTGAAGGCCTACAACACCTTCTAGAATTAACACCCAAAAATGATGTCCTTATCATCATGCGGGATTGGAATGCTAAAGTAGGAAGCCAAAAGATAGCCGGAATAACAGGCAAGTTTGGCGTTGGAGTACAAAATGAAGCAGGGCACAGGCTGGTAGAATTTTGTCAAGAGAATACGATGGTCATAGCAAACGCTATTTCCCAACAACCCAAGAGACGACTCTACACATGGACATCACCAGACGGTCAAAACAGAAATCAGATTGACTATGTGCTCTGCAGCCAAAGATGGAGAAGCTCTATACAGTCAGTAAAAACTAGACCAGGAGCTGATTGTGACTCAGACCATGAGCTACTTGTTGTAAAATTTAGGCTTAAATTGAAGAAAGTAGGAAAAAGCACTAGGCCACTCAGGTATGACCTAAAGCATATCCCTGATGAATATACAGTAGTGGTGACAAATAGATTTAAGGAATTAGATCTGATTGACAGAGTGCCTGAAGAACTATGGATGGAGGTTCGCAACATTGTACAAGAGGCAGCAACTAAAACCATCCCAAAGAAAAATGCCAGAAAGCAAAATGGCTGTCTGAGGAAGCTTTACAAATAGCTTAGGAAAGAAGGGAAGTGAAAGGCAAGGGAGAAAGAAAAAGTTACACCCAATTGAATGCAGAATTCCAGAGAATAGCTAGAAGAGATGAGAATGCCTTCTTAAATGAACAGTGCAAAGAAATAGAAGAAAACAATAGAATAGGGAGGACCAGAGATCTCTTCAAGAAAATTAGAGATAGATAGAGATAATTAGAGAAGGGAACGTTTCTATTTCTCTAGACAGAGATAATTAGAGAAGGGAACGTTTCATGCAAAGATGGGCATGATAAAGGACCAAAATGGCAGGGACCTAACAGAGGCAGAAGAGATTAAGAAGAGGTGGCAAGATTACACAGAGGAATTATACAAGAAAGAGCTTAACATCCCTGATAAGCACAATGGGGTGGTTACTGATCTCAAGCCAGACTTCCTGGAATGTGAAGTCAAATGGTCCTTAGGAAGTCTGAGCAACAACAAAGCTAGTGGAGGTGACAGTATTCCAGCTGAGCTATTCAAAATCTTAAAAGACGATGCAGTAAAAGTGCTACACTCAATATGCCAGCAAATTGGAAAACTTAACAGTGGCCACAGGATTGGAAAAGGTCAGTTTACATTCCGATCCCAAAAAAGGGCAATGCCAAAGAATGTTCAAACTACCACACCATTGCACTCATTTCACATGCTAGCAAAGTTATGCTCAAAATCCTACAAGCTAGGCTCCAGCAGTATGTGGACCAAGAACTACCAGAAGTACTCATACAGGCAGCATTTCGAAGAGGGAGAGGAACTAGAGATCAAATTGCCAACATACGCTGGATCATGGAGAAAGCTAGGGAGTTCCAGAAAAACATCTA